ACAAGGTTTGTGAATTCCTGGTTCATTGTTTAAATCTGATGTCTCTATGTTAGAAATGTCTATTGCAATCAGAGACAACTTTCTCACGTGGACAAACCACAGATTGTCTCTTTCAGACACTCTTGTGCCAAGTACCAATTAATGATGAAGTCTTCTGTCCAATTGAGTTAAATGCAACCAGAGATGCTGCCGATTCAACACTACAGCTCAGCCCCACACAGCTCAGGGTCCCAACCAGGCAGCAGAAGGCACGAGCATCTTGGACAGTGGGCACCAGAGGAGTGTGATCCCAATGCCAGTGAAGAAAGTCCTTGGTGGTGAAGGTCATTGACTTGTGATCATGATCATAGCACTGAGAGCAGGTGACACCAGACAGAAGCACAGGGACCCACAGCAGCTTGGTACAGATGTCCAGGCTGATGACAAGCCCACACACCAAGGGGACATGAAATGTTTATTGTGCACAGAGTTGAAACCTCTGGGATGCTAGGGAAGTCAGCCTGCTTTGATGGAGCCAGGAAAGGCCGGGCCCAGCAGGCCCAGCAGGAGCGGCAGCATGGCGCCTGCAAGGAGGGGCAGAGGGAAGGAGAGGAGGGTTGGGCGGGGGCACCTCCAAATTCCCGGAGCTCTGGGCCCGGAGACCCGTTCTCTTCCCAGCCCTGCCCTGGATGCGTAACTAGGACTCGGTTTCCCACGCACTTGGGTGAGATCAGTGATTTGCAAACCGCGGCAGGCTCGCCTGGAGAGCGTATTCACACAGGCATGGATGGCCCTCATCGCCAGAGTTTGCATTTAGTAGGTCTAACGAGGCCTGAGAATTTTCGTTTTCCAACGCATCCCCAGGTAAAGTAGATGCTGCTGGTCCAGGCACCACACTTTGGGAACCATTAGATTAGGCCAGTGATTCTCCAAACTTCTGTTGTTACCGGAACCCTTCCTCAGGTGAAAGCTGGCATACGTAGAACACAGATGCAAGCAGAGTGCTCTGTTTGTAGGGGCTTCCCCTTGGCACCAGGGGTCCTGGGAATACAAGGGGTGGGCAAGGGGTCTCTGAGTGTCCGTCAGCCTCTGCGTGGCTCTTCTGTGGTCTCCGGCTTGCCTTTCACTCAGGCATTGGTTTGCTGTACTGATGCCCTCCGTGATGGCTGCTGTTTCAGCCCATCTGGGCAGGAAAGGAAATAGCTACCCCCTGACCCCTCCCCTGGTCTCTGACCCACACAAGAGTCAGCTTCCACCTGGGCTTCCGGATTCCTCAGGGGCCCTTCTTGCAGGAAAGGGGCCAGAACAGTTGGGCTTGGAGGCAGTTCCCCCAAGTAAGTGACTTCTTCCCTGAGCCTGGGGGCTGGTCACAGGGAAAGGGGAGACCCCGGAGCTGCTGCTAACAAGGAGAGCAATAGAGAGCAGCTTGGTTCTTCAGGGGTGCAGTGGAGAGGACCGACACCTAGACCTGGGCTTGGGTCCTGGCTCTACCACTTACACTGTGAAATCTTAGGCAAGTTCCTTAACTTCTCTGGCCATGGCTTCCTCTGTTAAAGGGAAGGAAACCTTCTTCACGAGCTGAGATAACAGGTGTGAACACAGTCTGCACGGCTGTGTCACCCTGGTGTGTAGGTGCTTCTGCTCTTGGCCTTGAGAAAAGCAATCTGATCAAATACTTGACGTAAGGGGTTAGGGACTCAGTAACTCCTACTCCTGGGAGCTTGGTGAAGGCACTGCTTCACTCAAAGGAGCCGCCCTGCGATGGTGGGGTCCCATCAGCTCCCCAGTAGGCATAGGCTTTGGGAATCGAATACCCAAAGGCCTTGAAATGGAGACAAAGCAGGACAGAAAATGAGCTGGCAACAGCCTAGCATGGGGGCTTCTGTAGGCAATATCCTGGGAGCGTGTGTCGCTTTATGTCTCTTTGAGACATGGGGACCTGCCAGGTGCAGCTGTACAGATGTGCTCTACACAGCAAGGAATTCACCTTGGGGTAGGTGGGCACTGGAACCTAGCCCGCATTACACTTGCCTGAGTGTGTGGGGCTGGAGAAAAGTGTGCCTCTTCCTAACCCTCTGAATAAAGACCCCAAGTCCCCAGCCCAGCTGAACCCTCTCCCTCCAGAGGAGGTACCTTTCCTGTTTCCTACAAAGGCCCCCTATGGGTTAGCGCTGAAACCCATGGTGGGGGCGAGGCAGGAGGGAACCCATTGCCATTTGGAGTGGGGAAGACTGCACCTCAGTGCATTCCCCTTTGAAAAATTCTTTGGAAATATCTGGGCACCTGGCAAACCTGGCAGACAAGTGGGTCCTCTCCCACTTTATAGATGAGAAAAGCCGAGACCCAACAAGAGGACGTGTTTGGGACCAAGAACACACGGAGCACCGAGGCAAGCCTTGAAACAGGGTTTTTGACTCCAAAATCAGTGTGCCCTCCTCTCCACGGCCTTTCCCTCCTAGACACCGCTATTTCCAGACAACCTGTCCTCTGCCTGTTTCCCTTTTTGCAAAATTAGGAGGGGAGTCCAGTGGAATGGGTCTTGGCATCAGGGGTGAAGAAAAAAAGCAAAACCAAATAAAGCCAACCAAACAAGAACTCCCCCGTTTTGCCTTCTGAGCGCGTGGGAGCATCAGCTCTTCCTGACCTGCTGCTCTCTCAGCTGTCCTGCTACCGGCCCCTGCCCATCCTGCCCCCAGCCGGCTGGTGCCCCCTGTGTCCAGGACCCCACCTTCCTTTCACCCACCGCCGCCCAGCTCCCAGATGCCTAGGTGCCCCCCTTCCCTGCCAGGCCAGAGGGGGGAGGGGTCAGGTGGGCATCACTGCTGCAGGGAGGGAAATGGCTGCTCCTAGCTCTGTCCAGGTGGAGCGCAAAATAGTCATCTTTAAAGAGAAAAAACTGGGGCACGGATAAGCGGGCAGACCTGGAGCCCGGGGACCCATGGGGGAGGTGCAGCGACGGCAGGCTAAGGGAATCTCAGCTCCTCTCCTCGCCCAGCCCGCTCCCCAAATCCTGCCTCCCTCAAGAGCTCCCCTCCCCACCTACCGGGAAGGCTCCCCGTGCTCCCAATAAGCCCCCCCTTCACAGAAGCCAATGAATCATTGCTCATGGGAAAAAATCCCCCAGAAAGGGGTACCCCAGACCTCCTTCCCTCATATCCCCCCGCCCCCGAGAGCCTCCTTTATTCATCTTTTCCGAGAGGAAGCCCCTGAGCCTCATGAAAAAGCTCCCAGATCCTCCTTCCAGGGAAGGACCCGATTTCCACGC